GCTAAGCTCTCTTCTTTCTTCTTTCTCAATCGAGAAGGAAACCTAACTCCGATCCATCCATGGCGATTGTATATGCTCAACCCAAGAAATATCTACTTCCTCTTGTGTTTTTTCTCTTCTGTATCTCCGTCATCATTCTCCTCATTCTCGTCTCCGAGACCACTCACTCTCTCGCCGGACAAGAAACCACTTTCCGGCGAAATCACGGTGATGTTCCTCCTTTCACTTTCCTCATCAAGGTCCTCACATTCAACCGTCTCCACTCTCTCTCCCGCTGTCTCGAATCTCTCTCCGCCTCTGATTACGGCGTTTCCGGCGACAGAGGTCGCATTCACCTCCACGTCTATATCGATCATTTCTCGCTCTCGCGGAACGTTAAATCGGTGGGAGATAAATTGAAGAGCGCGAAGGAAATCCTGGAGTTTGTGGATAGATTCGAGTGGAGATTTGGGGAAAAAGTGGTTCACTATAGGACTGATAACGCCGGATTACAAGGGCAGTGGCTGGAAGCTTGGTGGCCGAGCTCAGATCACGAATTTGCGTTTGTCGTTGAAGATGATCTTGAGGTTTCTCCGCTTTATTACATGTTTCTGGAACGCGTGATTCGTGATTACTACTATGATGCTTCCAATTTCAATCCTTCTATCTATGGAGCTTCGCTTCAGAGACCAAGGTTGGTTCCAGGTACCATTTTTTGATTCTGTGATTCAGTAATGTACATCACAGAGAGAACAAACAACATGAATATGTTGATTACTAGATCTCGTTTCTTTGGGATCTGAGTAGAATACTCAGATTCTTACGATTTTAGGTGTAGAAGGAGAATGATGTATCGATTGTAGTTACTAGTGATTGTAAACATGGTGATACATTGTGCCCTTGATGTCATTTTAATAGTTCAAATAGAGAGAAAATCAAGTTTATTAGAGTAATATGACTCTTTACTCAGCGATAAAACTACACGAGTAGGGATCAGTAAGTAGTAGAATTCATGTGTTTATGCTTATGTTTGTTAGTTCGTAGAAAATTTTGAAATAGTGCCTGATTGGTTTAGTGATCAATTGCAGGTAAACATGGAAATAAACTACTTGTAGATCCGAAAACGAATGTTTTCTTATATCAGTTGGTGGGAACTTGGGGACAGCTTCTCTTCCCAAAACCGTGGAAAGAGTTCAGATTATGGTATGACGAGCACAAATCGAATGGCAAGAAGCCTTTCCTTGATGGCATGGTAACTTTGAAGTTGTACTGTCTTCTTCATGGATTTCATTATTTCTAAATTCCAAGTTTTATGTTGTTTATTATCTGCGATGTTTTGCTCAGGTGTCGAATGGGTGGTATAAGAGGATGGGAGAACGAATATGGACACCTTGGTTCATAAAGTTTGTTCAGTCTCGTGGCTATTTTAACATCTACACCAATTTCCCAAATGAGGGTGCTTTAAGTGTCTCTCACAGGGATGCTGGTGTTAACTATAGAAAATCCGCTGGTGCGGATTCGCAATTGTTGAATAAAAGCTCTATCGGTTCTGATTTTCTGAAACTCCAACCCTTGAGCAATCTTAAGTGGTACGATTACTGTTTCAGTGAAGTTGTTCCTGGTAGAGTTGTGAGAAACCTGAATGATCTTGGCACCACTCTTCCTTCTGTGCAGAGAGAGAAAACCATAATTCTGGTCAGTCTATTTGCTGCAGACAAGATGTTTATCAGGAACTTGCTCTGCCATTTCGAGAAGCTTAACACTCGAAACCACATTTTTATAGGCCCTACCTCTGAGTTGTTCTATGATCTTTCAAGAAGGGGATATCCTGTGATTGATGCGGATATGTTTCTCGACAGATTGATCAAAAGCAAAACGCCGTACCCAAACTCAGTGAAGGAGACTCTGGCCAATGCTTACGTTGTTAAGAAATGCTTAGATCTTGGATACAGCACTTGGGTATTTTCAAGTAATGCACTTTTGGTGGATAAAGGTCCATTCATTGACAGAATCAGCTCAGAATATGACTTCTATGTTGGGGAAAGATCTGGAATTTTGATTGTTCAGTCTTCACCGGTCACTCAAAAGTTATGGAGCAATGAGTTTCTACAGAGCATTGCTTCGTCAGCAACTAAGAATCCATCCCCAAAACCAAGTCTAGATTTTATTCATCTAGTGAAAGAGCTAGTGAAGCGAAAGGGCAAGAGGATTAAGACTATAGAGAGGATGGGTATTGCAGAGAATATCGATGCCAAAAGCGTAAACCAATCTTTGGGAGATGGCAAACCGTTGGTGTATTGGTCGCCCGAGGTTGGTTCCAGTATCGTTCAGACAAAGCTTACGGAACTGAACTTGTGGCTCATTGATGATGACCTCTCTTGCAAGGCTGTGCTTTGTCATAATTCATAAGGTTAAAAACAAAATTATTTGCGTTTTCTTGCGGTAGCATCGCAATGATTCACGAGCGAAACATGGAGCTGCCTTGGGGGATGAGTTATTGAATTTTTGTTACAGGCTCATCAGTTGTAAACCTGATAAACCGAATGTTATGTAGATCTAATAGCATCAATCAATGGTACTGGTTTTTAGATCAATACAAAAATATGTTGTTTGTTACCTTCAAATTGGAGTTTAAACGTCTAAACACATTGTCGAGTGACTCTAGCGTAATGTTCATTATAAGAGTGGTCCTAAAAAATTCCAAGAACAGCAGATGAGCATCTTTTGAATTTCTTGTTCATTTTGGACTTTCTGTTTCACTCTTTGTGTCTTATGTGGAAGTAGGAAAATAAATGTCTCACCTTTTTCATGTATTTGTATATAACCCCAATACAATATGCACGCAACTCGAAGCTTGGGGTTTGATTTTTTACCCAATAAAGCGCCAAATAGTAAATAACTGAGTCACTCACAATAGGTAGGTACAAAATCTCACAACGAAACAAG